GCAATATTTACCCCTTTGATGTCACCTTCTTTCAAACTGACTTAAAATTTCAGAGTTGCTATTTTTGTTCCTGCTCGTATTACTTGACGTGACCTTTAAATGTCCAGCAAGAATCAAATAGGATTCCTTTGATATATGTCTATCTTATAACCATACTTTCAGTTTCAAATCTGTAAAGAAAAAATATTAAAAAAAACATTTCTTCTGCAAAATGGCAAGTTTGGAGTCCCTGGTGGCAAACAAAATCCTTTTATCTTCATCTGTAAAGAATTTTACTTTTTGTTAAGAAGCAATTATCATCCTCTTCTGGTATAGACCTTGAAGGCAGGGATGCCAGCCAACTTGTCCGCTACTGTAGCATCAGTGCCTAGAATGGCGCTTGGCTCAGAAAGTAGGCACTCAATGAAAACATATCGAGTGGATTTATGAATAGGCAAAAGGAGGTGTTGCACAACCACAAAACAGAAGGTCTCCATATAAATGAATTCCTTAAAGTGTGCTATTTCACCAAATATAGGCATTTTTCAATCCACTACTGCTAAATTCATGATGTAAGGAAAGAGTTTTGGCTTTCTGAAAGACATACATTTGGTGTTGACTTGCATTCCTTTCATCAAGACCTTTCATAAGTACTATATTCAGAAATGGTTTTGTAAATCTGCTACTTTCCCCTATTTGTAGGTATTTAGCCAAAGGAAGGTAGTTTGCACACACCTATTTTAGAGAAACAACCTCTCCCTGTTAGTAATGCATGGCAAACTTTAATGGACATAAAAAATTACCTGGGATGGGGCGGCTGGGTGGCTCAGTTGGCTAAGTGTCTGACTTCAGCTCAGGTCATGATCTTGCAGTTTGTGAGTTTGAGCCCCACATTGGGGTCTGTCCTTACAGCTCATATCCTGGAACCTGCTTTGCATTCTGTGTCTCCCTCTCTCTCTGCCCTTCCCCAGCTCACATTCTGTCTGTCTCTCTCTCTCAAAAATAAATAAACATTAAAAAAAAATTTTTTTGATTACCTGGGACATTTGATTTAAAAAAAAACTCAAGACTCCTTTATACTCTAGAAAATTCTAATTTGAAAGGTCTGGTGTGCAACCTATATTCCTAAAAAGCTCTCCAGATTATTTTGATGAGGACTACTCTGCAAGAAACACTATATTTGAGGCTAAAAGCAAACATTATTTGTTTTTTTAATATATGAGTAATGTTTGTGAATGCTGGAACAGAACATGCTTTACGAAATATTAGGAAGTCTAAATAATTTCAGATTTTCAGTTAGTAATTATACTACCAAGAGTTCTTCCTTCCTGGAAGAATACCAGTTATAAATTCTATGGTCTGAATTAGACAAGTATCATTACAGAGAATGTTAGTGAGAAGGAAGATGGCAGTATTATATATTACAGACACCCCATCCCTGTGTTATCAGTGAGAAGTAGGCACCTGAATTCTAGCACTTGTGTGCTATGAATTAATTAAGTGATCTTGAGAACATCGCTTAATCTCTACCGCCAATTCCTCATTTACAAAATGGGATTAACCCGTACCTACATACTTCATAAAAACTTTCTAGGGGAAGGGGCACCTGGGTGGCTTCAGTCGGTTGAGCATCCGACTTCAGCTCAGGTCATGATCTCACAGCTTGTGAGTTTGAGCCCCACGTCAGGCTCTGTGCTGACAGCTTGGAGCCTGGAGCCTGCTTCAGATTCTGTGCCTCCCTCTCTCTCTGCCCCAACCCACTCGCATCCTGTCTCTGTCTCTCTCAAAAATAAATAAACATTAAAAAAAACTTTTTAGGGGAAAAACATATTATATAACAGTGATTTGAACCGTTCAAAAGGAAGGTATTTTATAAATAAAATATTGGGATGTTGCTCTACTTCAATAAGTTTGATGCTGTGAACGAAAGTTAGAAGCAGGAAAGCTCCCACCGAAATAACTATTCAAACTAAGTAAGCCTGCCACAGTTTTGTGGATGCTGACAGAAGATATGAGACTCTTGAGTCAGAGACAAAGAAAGTTACTAGTTGCAGCAAAAAGGATAACAGGAGTATCAGTATGGTTGTACCAGTGCCCAAGTCCCACAAGGCAATGTTGAGAGCCCAGTGGAGCCTGCATATGCAGTGGGGTGAGTCACTCAGAGGAGAGCCAAAGCTTAGGGAATCTGCAGCTTTTATAAAAAGCAGTAAGCAAGCCTGTTTGTCTGAAAGGAGACCAGGTGCAATACAAGAACTGCAATGTATTATCTTCTCAGGATTGCCAGCTACATTATCAATCCTGAGAAGTGGCCTAGGTAAGAGAAAAGTCAAAGCCCCAGGATTTTGGCACATTCAGCAAGACACGTAAGGGCAGAAGAAGCTCATATCTGACTGTATCTCAACATATAGGGCATAATAATACAAATAAAGAAAAATTTTAAATAAGGTTATATGTTTTCTTAAACAAATATGATTCTAGGGGTGCCTCGTGGCTCAGTTGGTTAAGCATCTGATTCTTTTTTTTTTTTAATGTTTATTTATTTTTGATAGACAGAACACAAGGGGGAGGGGAAAAAAGAGGGAGACACAGAATCTGAAGCAGGCTCCAGGCTCTGAGCTGTCAGCACAGAGCCCAACAGGGGACTCAAACCCACAGACCATGAGATCATGACCTGAGCTGAAGTCAGTCGCCCAACCAACTGAGCCACCCAGGCACCCCTTAGTGTCAGACTCTTGATCTCATCTCAGATCTTGATATCAGAGTTGTGATTTCAAGCCCCACAATGGGCTCCATGCTGGGCGTGAAGCCTACTTTGAAAAAAATTAAATAAGTAAAATACAATAAAAAAAATAAAAGAATTATGATTCTAGTTCCAAGGGAAAAAAAATGCATGAAGGAAGTTTTACCATGCTCTACGTTCCATTGTCTTTGGAAAGAAGATCACAAGATTAAAATGTGAAGACTCCTAACTTTCTATTGTTCATGTTAACAGATAACCATTTTAAAAGCCACTACTTTAATCTGTAGACTTGAAAAATGACTAAAAACTCCTGAAGTAACCGCCTCATCACAGAAATATCCTCAAAATAATGGTCGGTTTCTATGAACTAAGAATAGGAGAATAGTCACTAGGACTACCATGGAATCATGAAAGTGAAGCCAATAATAAGTATGTGATGGAAGAGGAAGAAGGCATGGGGAATGGAGAAATAATATATGGATAGCAAGTCTGGTTTTCAAGATTCAGTTGGATTTAAAGCAGCACAGAAAGAGCAGGAGGGTTCCACATCCTGTTTTCTCTCCTTTATATTGTGAAAGTATGGATGAGGGCCAGTCATTCTCAGCCAGGTTTTGAAGTGCATCATTTGGCTGCCAGATGCCCATTATACTAATTGGATCACTAGCCTCCTCTATGTCTCATTGACACAAGGATTCCAGGGCTACCGATTTCTTTTGCAGCATTAAAATTTAACAATACCCACGCATACAATAAACTATAAAATATTCACATCGGCCTATACTCCACTTTTGTATTATACTGTAACTCCAGAATGATTCTTCAGTAGCCTACTTGAGTGATGTGAAGGAATGCCAATACTAAATAGGTTTCTCATGCTAAGACATTTAATTTTATACTTCCGGAGCATATACTTGAAGCATTTGAGAATATTTACAGTTTGACTAGAATCATCATCTTCCTTAAGATTTTTTTCTTGTTAAGCCTATACATACAACTGCTCCAATCCAACAAATAACAAAAATTAGAGTATTTTTGTTAGGAATAGAAAAAAAAAATTTAATACCTCCACATTCAGAAATTAAAATGATTACAAAAATATACACACGGCTATATATGTATATTGTATATTGAATTCTAAGAAGAGTCTATGAACATCATTAATTAGTTATAGATACATTGATTCATTTTGTTTTATTCTCCATTTAAAAGGAGAAATCTGAATAAATATTAATATCAATCTCCATTGAATGAACTGGTGCTAAATGAAAGTAACTTTCCATAAAAATGTCTACATATTCATGATTTATAAAATGAGATTTTCTATTAATGCTACATTATTTAACTTTTTCCAAGAAAGACTCATATACACAACGGATCTTATATTAAACAGGGATCTGGGTTGCAGACAACAGAATCCACTGTGATTGGTTTGAGAAAGAAAGGATTTACTACAGGTATTAGGTAGTTTATAGAATCTTTGGAAAGGTTAGTGAAATCATTTCTAGGCCAAACTTCCAGGAACAACTTGTTGAAGATGCTGAGCAGACCCCAGAACTACAGTGTTTCCACCACAGTCAGGAAATTAGAGCCACCACATCTGAGCAAAGAGTCATGCGGTTTTTGCTAATTCCTGTACCACCAAAATGGATGCCCCCGTCCTACCTTTTCTGCCACACATATTAATGTCATAAAAATATATCCATCAGAATCTAAATCATGAACCCATATCCTAAAAGACAAGTGGGGGGAGGGGCTGGAAAAGGTAGGTTTTGTTTTAATGCTTTGGTTTGGTTTTATGTTCTACATTGAGATGGTGGGGTTTACATTATTGAGAACTATAAAAAATGTAGCCATTTCAAAATGCAGCCATGTTCAAAAGATTGTGGGTAACCTCAAATTGCAAATGTCAACTTCAGATTTTTATCACAAAATTTAGGGTACTTTACTTAATACATTTTCCATGTTTTTTCTCATTCTAGATAAGTAAATGGAGTATCTTAGCAGTCCAGTCATTTTTTATTGTTTTCTTATTTTGCTTATAATAAATTTTGGTCTTCATCCTATTTTCAGTTTTAGTTTCCTCTAGATTGGTTTGAAAACTCATTATTACATTACAGAGTTCAAAGCACAAACCCCAAACTATTATATGTTTCTTTTGGCCAATATTCAATTTGTAACATGTCTTTTGTCTCTGAAGTTCTGTTAAACTCTACATACCACCTGCCACTGTTTTCCTTAGGGGACTGCTAAGACCTAGATAGAACATTTCTGTGTCACTTACTCTCAATAGATTGTGGTCTGGCAGAGTTGGAGCTGTACTTCATTTGGAAAACTATGAAATGACATATTCTTCTTTTGACGTAGTTGAATCTTAAAAAAAGAAAGAAAACAAACGATAGCTTACAGAAGGGCTAAAGGTAAATGATTATGAGGTTCTATATCAGCTCAGCTCCCTTTCACGTTTCTGATAACCAAAAAAAGAGTCGATTTTATGTGTTCTCCAAAATCTGGCCATTTTTTATGTGGTAGATGTTGGCAGTTGTAATCTTCTTTATCTGGATTAATAAGAATTTGGTATGATTCTAATAGAGCAAAACTTCTCCTATGGAAGGGAAGGAGTAGGAGACGTTGATAGTTGATAGGAGATGTAGGAGATGGTCTTCCCCAACATTCCATAGTGTTAGACACCCCACCTCTATGACGGAATTGTAAGAATTCCACCAGAACTTAGCTTGCTCAGCAGAGCAATCAGGATAAACCATTGACCAGAAAAAATTAAATCTATTGGTGCCTGGGAGTCTTTCATTGGAAGATGTTAGAAGTGAGAAATTCAAAGGTGAATTTTTCCCCTCTTCTAAAGTATTAGGTTATAATACACATAAATATTGCATCTGTCTTCTATCATTAAGAAAAAACTATGATGTGGTACTAAATCTTTAAAATATTTTCATTTTCAAAAGGTTAAAAACAAAGATATGCTTATACCACTTCATACCATATACAAAGATTAACTCAAAATGGATCAATAACCTAAATATAAGATGTAAACACTATTAAACCAGAAAACATAGGGATAAACCTTCATGACCTTAGGTGTAGTAATGGACTATTAGATAGAATACCAAAAGCACAAGCAGTAAGACAAAAAATAAATGGAGCTTCATCACAACTAAAAACTTTTTGCATCAAAGGACATTATCAAGAAAATGAAAAGACGACATATACAATGGGAAAAAATATTTGCAAACCATATATCTGACAAGGGTTTAATATCCAGAAGACAAAAAATTCCTACAACACAGTAACAAGACAAACAAGCCAATTTGAAAATGGGCGAAGGACTTAAATAGATATTTCTCCAAAGAATGTAAACAAATGACCAATAAATACTTGAAAAGATGCTTAATATTCTTAGTCACTTTGGAAATGCAAATTAAAACCACAATGAGTTACCACATCACACCTACCAGGATGGCTCTAATTTAAAAAAGAGAAAAGGGAAAAACAACAAGTGTTGGTAAGTATGTGAAAAATTAGAACAATTGGAACCTTTGGGCATTGCTAGTGGGGGTATAAAATGGTACAGCTGCTTTGGAAAACAGCTTGGTAGTTACTCAAAAAGCTATAGAATGATCATATGACCCAGAAATTCCACTTCCAGGTGATCCATTCTCCAGCTACCAATTCTGGCAACCACTGAAAATCATTTGTTTTCTTTCCTTTGGTTGTGCCTTCCACACTATCATGTAAGTAGAATTATACAATACATTGCTTTTTGTGTTTGACTTAGCAAAATGCATTTAAAGATCTCCCTGTCTCATGTGAATCAACAGTTTAATTGTCCAGCTGTATTTCATTGCATAGATGTATCAGTTTATCAACTCACCTGTTGAAAAATATTTATAAGGACTATCCTCAAGTTTTCCTTTTCATTACTAAAGAATTAAAACTCCATTTAATTACTAAACAAGCATAGTTTTTTGCATTGATAATTTATTTTAATTCTGTGAAATATTTATGATGTACAGACTTTATTATTTATAAGAAGGCCTAACTAACTAAAAGCTCTCATTTTCTGACCTGCTAGGTAACAGTTTTCTGTAATGGCTACTAGATTAAATGGTTTGAAATGTTAAGGTGCTTAAACACTTAAGTAACAATGGCTACATGTCATGAGCATATCTTTTTAATGCCATTTTAACCATTTTTAAGTGTACAATTCAGTGGCATTTACATTCATATCATTGTGCAACCATCATTCACTCTGTTTCCAAATATTTTCCATCATCCCATATAGCAACTCTGTGACCATTAAGTAATAATCCCCCATCCTCTCTTTCCTGTAGGCCCTGACAACAACCACTATATTCTCTGCTCCTATGAGTTTGACTATTTTAGGATCCTTCATATAAGTGGAAAGATGATATTTATTGTTCTGTGATGGGCTTATTTCATTTAGCATAATATCCTCAAGTTTTATCCATATTGTCACAGGTATCAGAACTTCATTCTTTTCGAAGGCTAAATAATATTACATTGTACAGATAGGCCACATTTGCTTTATCCATTCGTCTGTTCATAGACATTTAGGTTATTCCCCACCTCAATGATTGTAAATAGTGCTGCAATGGACATGGGAGTGCAAACATCTCTTGAAGATCCTAATTTCAATTCTTTTAGATAAATACCATAAGTGGAATTGTTGGATCACATGGTAGTTCTATTTAGAATTTTTTTAAAATTTTTTTTAACGTTTATTTATTTTTGAGACAGAGAGAGACAGAGCATGAACAGGGGAGGGGCAGAGAGAGAGGGAGACACAGAATCTGAAACAGGCTCCAGGCTCTGAGCTGTCAGCACAGAGCCCGACGCGGGGCTTGAACTCACGGACTGCGAGACCATGACCTGAGCCGAAGTTAGATGCCCAGCCAACTGAGCCACCCAGGCGCCCCTATTTTGAATTTTTTTGAGAAGACTTTATACTGTTTCCCACAGCAGTGGTACCATTTTACGTCTCATGAACAGTGTACAAGAGTTCTAACTTCTCCACATCCTCAGCAACACTCATGGTCTTTTGATTTTATGATAATAGTCATTCTAACAGGTATGAAGTGATATTTTATTGTGCTTTTGATTTGCATTTCCCTGATAATTACTGAGCTTAAGCATCTTCTCATATATCTGGTGGCCATTTGTATGCTTTTGGAGAAATGTCTGTTTAGTTCCTTTGCCCAGTTTTCAATTGGGTTATTTGGGTTTTTTGCTATTGAATTGTAACAGTTTCTTCTGTACATTAGATATTAATCCCTTACCAGATAAATGATTTGCAAATATTTTCTTCCATTTCATAGATTGTCTTTTTTATTTTGTTGATTGTTTCCTTTGATACACAAAAGCCCTTTAGTTTGATGTAGTGCTGTCTATTTTTGCTTTTGTTGCCTGTGCTTTTGGTGTCCTATACCTGAAATAATTGCCAAGATCAATGTCATGATGGAATATATCCCATTCACAATAGCATCAAAAAGAATTAAATACTTAGAAATACATTTAAGCAAGGAAGTAAAATATCTGTACACTGAAAACTACAAAACATTAATGAAAGAAATTAAAGAAGATATATACAAATGAAAAGACATCTCATGTTCATGGATTGGAAGATTTAATATTGTTAAAATGTCCACACTACCCAAAACGATCCACAGATTCAGTGCAATCCCTATCAAAATCCCAAAGGCATTCTTTACAGATATTAAAACAAAACAAAACAAAAAGCCAACCTTAAAATATGGAACCACAAAGGATCCTCTATAGCTAAAACAATCTTGACAAAGAAAAACAGAGCTGGAGGCATCACACTTCCTGGTTTACAAATATATTACAAAGTTACAGAAATTAAAATTGTATGGTACTGGCATAGAGACAGACATACAGACCAGTGGAACAGAATAGAAAGCCCAGAAATAAATCCATGCGTATATGATCAACTGATCCTCAGCAAGGGCACTAAGAATATGTAATGAGGAAAGAATAGTCTCTTCAACAAATAGTGCTGGGAAAATTGGATATCCATACGTAAAAGAATGAAATTGGACCTTTATCTTACACCATACACAATCATCAACTCAAAATGTAATAAAGACATACATTTTATATGTAATAAATATTTACATTTACATTTTCCATCAAGAATCCATGATTCTTAAAAAATTACTGATTCTTAGGCTAGGGTACAGAAAATACAAGATAAGCCAGAAGGATCATCTTACAGTGCCAGAAAGTAAGTTAGCACTTAAAAAGAAAAAAAAGAAAAGAAAAAAGATATGGGTTTGTGGAAAGAACACAGGAAACAACTCTTAAGAGCTCCTGATGGCCAGAGCTGGGGTAATTTGAACAATACAATAAACACGGATAGTAACTAATTACAAGCCAAAGAATAAAATAAATATCCATAAGTCAATAAATATCCATGAGTTCACACTGATATAAATACACGAATGAATGAATAAATGAAAAAAAAAGGCAATTCTTTCTATAGAAGAACTATCATTACAGGAAGAATGAGGAAAATGGAAAGCCATCAGCAGAGTACTGCTGACTTAAACAAAACAAAACAAAACAAACCAGTGGCACCTGGGTGGCTCAGTTGGTTAAGTGTTGGGCTTTGGCTCAGGTTATGATCTCGAGGTTTGTGAGTTTGAGCCCAGCATTGGGGCTCTGTGCTGACAGCTCAGAGCCTGGAGCCTGCTTCAGATTCAGTGTTTCTTTGCCCCTCCCCTGTTCACTATCACTCTAGCTCTCTCAAAAATAAATAAACATTTTTAAAAATTTTTTTAAAAAGCCAGCCATTTTACCAGCAAAATGAGTTTACTCAAAAATAGAGAATTGCAATACAGGACAAGCAAACTTTGGAGAACCACAGGCAAATCCAGAGAATAGAAGAGAGGGGTTTGTTTTTATGGTGAAAAGGAAGAAGTTGGAAAGCGGCTATTTCACAGATGAATTCACGGCTTCTCATTGGCATAGTGTGGCAGTTTCTCAATGGCTGGGCTGTTTCTGGACAAGGAGAAATTCTCCTTCCTCCTCCTGGGATATGTAAAGTAAGTTTTCTCCTGTTGAGGGTCTGAGTGATAGTGTGTGAGAGCTTCCCCTTCAGGATTTCTGGACTCCATCTTGAATGAGGTTTCTGTTATTTGTTTTCACAGTACCAAAGTAACAATTGCTGCAGGCAACATCCACTGATGAACTAATATTAGTGAGTGAAACTTTAAAGATACCCCACACTGCCTCATAGTATCTCTCATCAAATATTAATAACTCTGGTGCTTTTAACATATGTCTACAATGTCTTAAATACTCCTTCCAGGAGACAG